TTTCGTTTTTTTCATAGGAGATGGCTATGGCGGGATCTTTGTCACATTGTTTGGCAGAGGACGAGCGGGAGGAGGAGAGGGGAGCAGGAGGAGCGGGAGGACGGATGGGAAAAGGAGCAGGAAAAGGAGGAGTGGGAGGAGGGGCGGGAGCAGGTGCGGGAGAAGGAGCGGGAGGGGAAATGCGAAGGGGCGGAGGAGCCGCGGAAGGGGGAGCTGGAGAAGGAGGAGCGGTAGGGGAAACGGGAAGGGGGTTAGGAGCGGGAGAAGGAGCACGAGGAGAAATGGGAAGGGGCGGAGGAGGCGCGGGAGGAGGGGCGATAGAAGGAGCGGGAGGGGGAGCGGGAGGGGAAACGGGGAGGGGGTTAACGAACACACGGGAGTCGGAGGAGGGGGAGGAGATATAGGTGGAGGAGGAGAAGCGGGAGGAGCACAAGGACGAGCGGGAGAAGTAGCGGTAGGAGGAACGGGGGAAAGAGCAGGGGAAGCAGCAGGAGAAGGAGAAGCAGCAGGGGCGAGAGCGGGAGAAGGAGGAGGAGGAGGAGAGGGAGGAGCAGCAGGAGAATGAGCGGGAGCGGGGCTATGGCGGGATCTTTGTCACGTTGTTGGCAGAGGAGCGGGAGGGAGAGGAGGAGGAGGAGGAGGAGGAGGAGGAGGAGGAGTGGGAGGAGCGGGAGAAGAAGCGAGAGGAGGCGTGGGAGAAGGAGCGGGTAAGGAGCGAGAGCGGGCCTATGGCGCGGGAAGAGGAGCAGGAGGAGGGGGAGGAGGAACAGGGGAAAAGCAGGAGAAGCAGCGGAAGGAGGACGAGCAGCAGGAGGAGTGGGAGGAGCAGCAACAGAGGGAGCGGGAGAAGGAGAGGGAGGAGGAGCGGGAGAAGGAGCAGGAACGGGGCTAGAAGCGAGGAGGGGGAGGAGAGATAGGTGGAGGAGGAGAAGCGGGAGGAGCACGAGGACGAGCGGGAGAAGGAGCGGCAGGAGGAACGGGGGAAAGAGCAGGTAAAGCAGCGGGAGAAGGAGAAGCAGCAGGGAGGAGAGCGGGAGAAGGAGGAGGAGGAGGAGAGGGAGGAGCAGCAGGAGAACGAGCGGGAGCGGGGCTATGGCGGGATCTTTGTCACGTTGTTTGGCGGAGGAGGAGCAGGAGGGGGAGGAGGAGGAGTGCCTTTTTTCACAATCAAACATAAATCCTCTTGTTTTCAATCGCGCGCTCTTGCACCACTGCGCCTCTCATCGTCGCGAGGTCGCCGCGGCGGGCCCACTTGTTTCTTATTATTCTTGCTTCATTGATTTGAAAACATCGGAGTCTTTCAATTAGAACCTAGAGGCAGCGACACCTCCAAATTCTATAAGAAAGTGGTCGTAGATACACTTGCTTATTAGTCAAAGGGGTATGCGCATGAGTCTGTGCTGCTACCACGAAGTTCCATAAATTGAGATAGCCGTGTAAAGGTAAGAGGTGCTGAGTCTGCAGCTATCTAAGTTTAGTAGCCTAGTAGCTTATGCGCATGGTAAGTGTGACGTGAACTGCTAGGCACCGACTATTCTAAGAGTTTCTAGTCATGACATATTATGGTGGTCTTCGCGGGTACGGGCCCATACACTTGAAGTAACTGTTCTTTTGGAGCTGGGAACCTAAGGGCGAAAGGGGAGCCGCAGTAGACGCTAGCCTGAACTACATTAGTACGACAGGCTAGTGAAATTGAAAATTATTTTTTATAACGGCAAGGAGCAAAAATAAGAGAAGACGCGACAGTACATCGCGCAGTTACTGAGGCCCGAAACCGGGCTGAGCGGAGATGTAAGCGAGACAGAGTGACCGCTATGTTGCAGGTTACGGTAACATACCACAAGGAAGAGACTTCAACTGGAACGATTGAGAAGGAACAAGCACAACTGGACATGGACTCTTAAGTTGAGTCCTGAACCAATGACGTGGAAAGTCGGAAACCCAATCCTGGCATGGATGGGCTCAATAGCAGCGGGACCACCCGCCGGCCAAGTCTGTGGAAGATGGCCCTGAGGCCAGCTCATGGGGACAGAGGCCTTGAAGCCACGAGGCAGTTACAACCTTACATACGCGCACTTGCCACCACACGAACAACCCCTGCAAGACACATCAGATAATGAGGAGGAAGAAGCACGGTCACGTACCGTGGCACTGGGAAGCGGCTCCACCCAGGACTCCCAGGGGTGGGCGGGGAGCCAATTGTATGGGATTTGTGAGACGTTTCGGCAATCTTTCACCGAACTATTGGAAGATGACATTCACGAAATCGACGACGCAGCCGACATTAATCTTTCATTTGGTCTGTGTAGCAAGAGCTCATCAGACACGACCCGCACTCTCCTCTTCAACCCCCACCCCAACGACGACGCGGGGCAAGTGACAGCAGTCAGCCGATCAGCAAAGGCTCCAAGCGGGGAGTGGGTGGCATCAAGTCAGACAAGGGAGCGTCGGATAGTCCAGTCGCAACCGTTGTCAGCGCCACATGTTGCTGCCCAACGCCCGGAGTGGATGCAGCCACCATCACCGTTGTCGGGGTGTGGAAGCAAGGGTGGCCGCACGGCTGGCCACGTGTCCACGAACGAAGATTTTGCGAGCGCTCCCGGTGAACGGGTCGGGTGGCACGTGTGGGTGGAACATCGGCAGCAGCTGCACAGGGAACGCGAGGAGTGCATAACGCAAGGGGTCCAGGGACTGCACGTGCGGGAAGGGATGGTAGAGAAGGAGCCGATGGTAGTGGATTGCGACGATTATGACAACACCGCCTTGGACGACGAACGGTGTGACAACGAGACGGCCGACGTTCAACAGAAAACCATGGGTGGTCAGAGTAGGATGACGAAGGCTTCTTTGTCGACGGCGCGAAGGGGAAAAAAAGGGGCGGCTGCGGGGAGCGAGGGGGAAGGCCACATGGAGGGCGAGGTCGGGCAGAACTTCTGGTCAGTCGACCACATGGTCGCCCTCATAAGGGCGAAGCGGGACCAAGACGCGCATCTGCAGGGGATGGGCCATGCATGTGCTCGCATGAAGCCGAGGGAATGAAAGTGGGAAGATGTTGAAGAGAGGCTGAAGAAGGTTGGCGTGGAGAGGACAGCCGACAAGTGAGGGAAGAAATGAAACAACTTGATCCAACAATTCAAGAAGGTGCACCTGTTCCAGGGGGAGTCCGGGAAGCAGGACCTCTTTCAATTGACGGGGAAGGAGAGGTCTGCTCGTGGCTTCAATTTCACCATGGATCGGGCTGTGTATGAGGAGATCAAGGGTTTCATCGTGAAGAGTCACACCATAAACCCGAAGAATGTAGCCGACACAGGCGGTTCCGGTGGTGTGCAGTTGTCGTCCGGGTTTGCAGGCAACCCTAAATCTGTCGGCGATGGGGACGCCGGTGGCGACGATAATGACGAAGAGGACAACTCCACGAAAGGGTCTTCACCAGCGACGGATAGCAGTGGCGGTTTCGGGAAGAGGAAGAACGTTAGGCAACAAACTTTACAAGCTCTCACGGAATGCATGGAGAATCACGGGATGCTAATGGCGATGACGATGGAGAGCGCTAGCAAGAGGCAGTATTCCATTCAAATTCGACAATGCGAGGCCATGGAAGCAGAGGTGGAAATGCAGAGAAAGCGCTACGCGACTTCAGCCGACGTGAGCAAGCTCATGTGCCAAGCACTGCTGGAAATAGGGAAGGCTATACGGGAGAGGTAGAATAGGGAACCCTGCCGTTCACGACATTGCCCAGGGAGCTTACTGACTGCCCTTTGCCGCACGCAGTACTCGCCCCGATGACTGCTGAGATGGCGTCTCCTCCCCCGACGACTGGCGCGACGGCAACTTATTCCCTGGTGATGGTCAATGGAATCTCCCCCCCCCCCCAAGCGACTGCCGCGATGGTGTCTTCTCCACCGACGTCTTCCTTGCCTGGCCACACTCAGCACCCACGCCTACCCCCCCCGATGCGCTGTGGAAGGAGCCTCCTTTCCAACGTCCTCCACCGGCCGCTGCAGCACCACGATGAACCGCCCTCACCCCAGCGACGTCATTCGAAATTTGAATTTTGAACAGGGACGGCGTGTCTAGTTTTTTTTTTTTTTTGGGTCGCCGCGAAGATTCGGATTCTTGCCGCCAATCGAAGCTCGACCACGGCCGTACCAGCGAACAACCGTCCATGGACCACCGACCCCACCCCACCCCGCGGTCGCCAACAAGATTATTAACTGGAGGACGACTGGCCGCGCGACCTCTATAGGAATCCTCCTCGGACGTCCATCCCGAGGATAAGTGGAACGACGGTGGAAGTATCTCGGAAGCCCCGAAGAAAAACTCCTCGGGCCCCGAGGACACCCCGAGGAGTGTCTAACGAGCCCCTGTGTTGTTGCCTTTTCTTTTTTCTCCTCTTTGTGGAATCAAGATGTCAAATGATGGAATCATGTGTCTCACATTCCATAAAATTGTGTTTGGGGGGGCTCTCCACAGCTCGCCATGATTTCTGGAGGATCATGGAGAGTGGTGGAACCAAGGCCAGAGTAGAGAGACGTAGGAGGAAAGGGAAAACAATGGACACGGGTAGACAGCTTTACCCGAGACAGTTGTGAGCAGTTTTCGCTGCCAGCTTCTTTTTTTTTCTTCCCTTTTTTTCAGGGCATACTCACAGTATCACGTATTTTCGGAAAATCGCAAATTATACGTGATTTTTTGGGCCACAGGAGGCATGTATTTTGCGTTTTCACACGAAGGGCACGTATATGTCAGCGGCCTGGACAGCCGCGGGGTCACGTATTTTTCAAAATCGTATGTCTATTTCTGCTATTTCTTTCTGGAACAGTGTCAGATCCTGCACCGCTGCCTTCCCACCCCATACTGTGGCACTACAGAGCATGTCGGCACACTGCGCGGCCCGTGGCTTGCGACTCGGTCCACTGGAGTCCTGTTCTTCGCCTGCCGCCCTTCCATGATGACGCCCTTCGTCGAGGAACGCCTCTTGCACGTGCGTCCAGGCAGCCTACCGAGGATGCACACGTGGAAGGCGACGACAAGGACAAGTGTGACCAACACCAGGAACAGCAGCGGTTGTCTCTGGAAGACGTCGGCCATGAACGACACGTGGGGAAGGGCGGTAACTACAGGACGCTGGTACGGCTGCAGCAAACGGCAATGACAAGACGGCAGGAAACGGCGACGAGAAGAGGGCAGCAAACGGCAGACTGTACAGTTCGACTGGCATCGTGTAGCTGGGAATAAAAAGTTTGTCGGCCTCAAATATTCGAATTTTTTGTCCGTTGGGCCGCTTTCCGTTTGGCGCCACACACTGCGAGGGAGAACGGTTGTGGACGACATGCGCAGGAGTCGGCAGGCCACCAACGGTTGCCGTTAAAGTACGGTTCCTGGAGGCCGAACGTTGAAGACCGATGATGTCCAAGCGCCGCCTGGTAGGAACTCCAATGGACCAGCCGACCAAAATTTCTTGCCGATGACGGGTGCCCTCGCCGCTCCGTTTATCGCGGATCCTTGGCCTCCAAGGGACCTCGGGAGGTACCGTGGGAAAACCGCAAAATGGCTGTGGCCCGAGGATTCCCCGAGGACGGCCCGAGGAAATGTTTTCACTTTTTTTTTCGTTTTCTTTCCCCGAGGATAGGTGGAATGAAGATTTCCTCGGGGATCTAACACGCCCGAGGAGTGTCTAACGAGCCCCAGAGTCTTCCTGGATGGCAGTCACCACCCAGCCGCCCTCACCGAAAAGTTTGTCTGTGAGAGGGTTGCAATGATGTCCCTTCACAGTCTGCCAGTGGGAACTTTGCCATACACTTTGGTGACTAAAAATGAATGACTCTACAATTTGCATTTGCCGACAGTGTTTGCTCCTGTCAAGTTTGGCAAGCAAATGGAACCATGTGCCAACTCTCCAAACTTGGTAGATGTCCAGTCATGTAACCAGGCCCTCTTTATGATAACCCATGCATTTTTTTTCGTCTTCAAGTTGTTCATTTTTGGGGTAGGCAATTTTCATGGCCTTGTCATGCCTACGTTCGAATTGATGTCTTGATTGACAACCTCCTTCTTCGTTAACTTTTTTGCTCATACAATGATTGTGTCCATGGTTTCCTCTATGATAAATCATGCACTGACGGTGCACACGATATGATAGGTTCCAAATCTTATGGGGTGGGGTTGCCGATCCTCATCCAACCTCTCCCTTCCAACACCTTCACCCCCCAACATGCACGCGCCCACATGCCCTCACACACACACACATACATACACAATACACATACACAATACACATACACACACATTCACACACACACACACACACACACACACACACACACACACACACACATACATACACAATACACATACACAATACACATACACGCACATTCACACACACACACACACACACGCACACACACACACACACACACACACAGAGAGAGA